GGCTTGGCGGAAGTGGCAGAAGCAGAGGCAGTGCGGACAGCAGTCCCAGGGGCCGGGCCTGCAGCAGGTGGGAAACCCTCCTGTGCACAGAGCGAGTGAGCCGTCCCGGGTCTCAGAAGCAGCCGCTTCTCTCCACCTGGGGCCTGAGCTGTTTGCAGATCAGCCCGAGATCGTTAGGCCAGAACAGTTGAGGACTTTTATCACCCTGCTGTCTGCGGGCCCAGTCAGATCATCCTAATATCCCCTGGGGAACCTGGCTGACTACTCCAGGCTGTTTTTGAAGGCCAGCACTTTCTCGGCTAAGCCAGGGCTCAGCCAGGAAAACAGGTTTTACGTTTCATGCGCTCTTGCCAGTCGTGCGATGTGCTGTGCGTTGTGGAAGGCACTTCTTCACCTCTGCGTGACAGCAGCTGCAGGAGGAATCCTGGCTTAGGTCACTGGCAGAAGGTCGTTCTGGGCGGCTTGGGGCCCGCCCACGTGGCTCCGGGTTTCCAGCTGGCGCTTTTCAGTTCCCCTCGGCTTGGCCCTGGGCTCTGCGTGTCCCTCAGGCTGTCGGCCCTGTCTTGCATCGCAGCTTCTGCCTCCCACCTTGCTTGGGATGCGACAGCTCAGTGGCAGCTCCGGGATGCACATCCTGGCAGACCCAGCTGCCTGCCTGGTGCATCAGACCCCGCCTGTCCCCTGCCTTCTTGGCCAGGTCTCCTCGACCTCTTCTGGAGTGCCGGGCGCCTCCCTTTGCTCCGCCCTCGCAGCGTTGCCCCTGCCGGGCTGCGATTCTTATTGGCAAGTCTGGTGAAGTCACTCCTTGGGCTGCACCCGGATAAGGCCTGGGCCGCCAGGGTGTGCAAGGTGCTGGGCTCAGTCCCAGGACTGAAAATCAAACAAACGCAGAAACCACCCGTGCTCTCCTTGCTTTGGTGCTGTCCAGAGGCCTCGCGGTGGCCTTCACACAGTGTGGCCGCGCCTTCCTCCTCTCCCGCTTCCCCTGCTGTCCCCTCACCTGCCATGTGGGCACCTGGCTGTGTCCTCAGGGCTTGGGACGCCGCCCGAGGTCTCTGCCCCCGTGTCTGTGTGTCGTGTGCAGGTGAGTGTGCGCTAGGTGCAGAGCGCTTGCCCTTCCAGTGTTAGGGCTGCGTGGCAGTTGCCGGGCACCAGCCAGCCTGCGTGCAGGGCCCTGTGCACTGCACCAGTGACCATTCTGGTCTCAGCACTTTCAGACTGAGGGGCAGGAGAGGGGCACTGGTTTATTCCTGTTGCGTTTAATTTTATGTTAAAATTATCATTCTTTCTGGAATAGTTAAAACAGGAAGACCAGGGCCCATGATTTAGCTCAGTGGTTTTGCCGCCTGCCTCGCAAGCGAAATGACCTGAGTTGATCCCCAGTACCAAACAAACAAACAAACAAAAAACAGGAAGACAGCTTTAACCAAAGAGTTCAAGTCAGTGGCTTTTCCTAACTACTTGAAAGCGTGTTGCTTTGTCAAGAAGCCATCTCTTATTAGTTTCGGATTAGTGTAAACTCGACACTCCTATCTAGACAATGAATTACTCTGGAAAATGACAGTGATTAAAATGTTGGTGGACTTCAAAAATATTAATTACCTTCAACATGAGGACAGTTGGTAGCATTTTCTGGGTTTTGTTTCACAGGAGGATACACAGGTAAGATCGGTGTTTGTGTTTAAGACTGAATCCATGATTTTTGACTCAACTTTTCCCAACAGGCTGCCAACTGCTTTGTATATGGATTGTCCACAGAACTTTGAAATACGTTGGTTGCTTATTTAAAAATTAATATTTATTTTCAGAAATACCTACATGTTGAGCTTTTTTTTCTTTTTTTTTTTTTGTACTGGGGATCAAACTCAGGACCTTGCACTTGCGAGGCAATGCAGTGCCACTGAGCTGAATCCCCGGCCCTTTATTTCTAATTACAAGGTTAATTTATATATTTTCTGATCTGAGCAACTACTAAATTTATACATGACAACGTGAAGTTTAATCTTGCTGTTCATAAGTATCAGTTCTCACTTTGGTGTGTACTGAACTAACCTGAAAGATAAATCATGACGTTGAAGTTGCGGCTGGCAGGAGAACGCTCTTGGCTTCTCCTCTTGACGTCCCAGTGTGCGCCCAGTCAGTGCCGGCCCCACAGGGTCACGGTGGGAAGCGTGGGAAAAGGTTTTCGGCTGCCGCGTAGAAGTCTGCTCCACAAGTTAGTCTGCAAGTCATTTTAGAGGCAGGTTTTCTTGGTATCATTTTCACTGCTGTCAGTAAAAATCTCAACTTTCACTTTGTTTTGAGGGATCCGAGTGAAGGGGAAGCCAGTGGCAGAACAGACGCATCCAGGTAAGGAGCTAGCGCCCCTTCTCGAGGCTGGGTCCCCACGCGTGCTCAGGGGCCTCGCTGCGCCGGCACTTAATAGTCGTGATGACGTTGGTGACCGGCAGCGTGTACACCGTGAAGTTTCGCATTGGCGCGGGGTTCTGATGCTGCCCGTATTTCGAGACGTTTAAGCTACTCACCTGGAGTTGCGTGTTTGGTAAAGAGATCGCCTTTCTGTTTGCAAAGACACATCGTGGATCGAATGTCCTGATCCTTTTTTCACCAGTACTTGTAACTGGACCCAGCCTGTGTCCGACTGGCGTGGGTAACGCAGGAGGCCAGGGCGGCCGTGGGTGCAGGACGGTGTGATATGAGCGGTGTATCTCAGGGAGAGGCGTTAGGTTTCACTTTCGGCTGGGCATTTGTTTTTCACGAACAGACGTGTTGAGGGAAACATTAGCCAAGTACTACGGAAGACGCCGACGGCTTTGGGCCTGGCCGCACAGCACCTGTCAGGCGGACTGCACACTGCGTAGCTTTACCAGACGCGGATTAAGAGCACGGGGCTTCTGTCCGTGCTTGGTTTCATCTCTGAGTGGCATTTTGCTTTCCTTCTTTCCCTTTGCCCTCTTCTTGCAGAAGTGCATCCGGGGAACCGAGGGAAAGAGACAAGGAAGATGGCAAAGACTCCAAGCCCCGCTCCTTGCGGTTTACGTGGAGCATGAAGACCACGAGCTCCATGGACCCCAACGACATGATGCGAGAAATCCGCAAGGTGCTGGACGCGAATAACTGCGACTACGAGCAGAAGGAGCGCTTCCTGCTCTTCTGCGTCCACGGGGACGCGCGCCAGGACAGCCTCGTGCAGTGGGAGATGGAAGTGTGCAAGCTGCCGCGGCTGTCGCTCAACGGAGTCCGCTTCAAGCGGATTTCGGGGACGTCCATTGCCTTTAAGAACATTGCTTCCAAAATAGCAAACGAGCTCAAGCTGTAGAGAATCCACACTGACGGGTCCGGGAAGCGCACAGTTCCAAGTGGACTGGTCGCCGTGGTGTGGCCGCGTGAGTCTCCCTGGGTAGAACCTGCCCTCATGCAATAAGGTTATACATAGTCACGAGCTGTACAGTCAAAACCCGTATGAGCTGTAAGAAATACCTGTAGCTTACAAAGTAGGTTCACATGTACAGGTAAGTATATTGTGTATTTCTGTTCATTTCCTGTTCATAGAGTTGTATAATAAAATATGATTGCTTAAAAACTTGTATAGTTGTCCAGATTTCTGCACATAATGTACGATTCATGCTCTGACTTGAAATGTCCTTCCCTGTTATTTACATTCTGGCGGGTTTTTACAATTCTTACCTCCGTCATACAACTTTGAAAATTGTGTCTGGGATTAAAAGTGCACAGAACTTGTCTTTACAGCTGTAGCATGGACTTTAAAAAATTATTTAAAATCATATTTAAATTTCAACCGGAAGCTGATCAATAGATCCATTTATTATACCCAGAATTATTCCTGCTTAGCTGGCTTAGCCTTGTCATGAAACAAGGTTTCATCGAGGAGATACAAAATGTTTACAGTGTTGGCCCTTAGGGTTTCTACACAAAGTACATGAAAAGAACTAATAGCTTCGCCTTGAGCTAACTGGGAAGTGCTGGAGAAAAAAAGTTCAAACCTATGCCAAATTTCCCTTGAACTTCGAAGGGTTTTCTGACCAAGTAATGGCAGCCGCGAGGTTGAAAAGCTTTAGTGCTTCAGCCAGGAGCTCATTTTAGCCTGGCTGAGGCTCGCTGCCTCGGGCGGGAGCCGCAGTGTCCTTGCGGAGACACAATTCTCTGGCAGTGGTGCACTCCCCAGGCTGGTGCGTCACCTAAGAGACAGTGCAGCCCCAGGAACCAGCTGCCTGCCCCGCCCACCGCCTCCGCGTGTTGGACACCGAGGGACTCGTGAGCAGAGCTGCTGCCGGTGACCGTTTATCGTGGAGTTAAGCGTACGTGTTGTTCAGTTTGTCCCACGCGATCAGTTTGGTCTAAGTATTTTGCCAAACTTCTTGTATTTATTTCACATCATTAGGCCTGTAGCGTGCAGCTTTTTGATGGGGCATTTGCCAACTTTTCCTTCGTAATTAGTGACGTGCTATGTAAAGACACTAGTAAAGGTGCATTTTAATACTTGTTATTTTATACAGCATTGGCCCTGGAGGTTGACTGTGCAATGTTATTTAATGTGTAATTACTGTAATATCAGCATACAGACCCCACCTGCCCACTCCTGAGAAATGGTGTACTCAGATGTTATCAGTTTAAAGAAAAATAAAGCTGAAGTACTGTCCTGCCCTGTGTGCGCGCCCGGAGCGCAGGGGTCCTGCGGCAGAGTGGCTTCTAGCCCAAGGTGAACTCCATATCCTTACTGTGCTGTGCTGTAGCTTTTCTTCTGTAACAGTTCTGTTCTGAAATGAAATGTGTTCTTGCCTTAGCAAAGGGTGGCGTTTGGAAAAAAACAGAACAAAACTATGTAGCCCTCTCTGACCTAATGCCCGTCCAGGACTTGGACACAAACCCTGACCCACTTATAGGTGCAGACTGAAACGTTACTTGAAAAGTTCTCGTAATAAAGCACTTGTCTTTTGCTCTCTATCAGAATGTGAATTACCTGTTTTCTAGTGAAAAAAAAAAAAAAGTGTTCTGTATGGGTGGGAGGGAGGGATGTGTTCTAAATTTAGTTGGCAAGATGTCATTATGACCAGAGAATTTCATTTTTTATAGGCATGCCTGTCATTGAAATACTTTTCAAAAAGTAGACTTTGTGCTTCTTTCAGGGTAGAAACTGATGTTTTATGTCTTCTCCTCCTAGCCAATTCTTCTGTTTTGTGGCAAGGAATTTTACTTCAGTATTTTTTATGATCTACAAATGAAATCTTGATATTCACTTTATATTTCCATTTTATATGTTCGTGACAGCATAAATATTCTTTGAAGACTTAGAAGAATTTTAAATATGTTTGCATAAATAAATACCAGTTTACATTCACTGGCTATGTGATATCAGGATTTCCTTGGCTTCTGTGGAAATACTATTTGCTATGACATCCCTTATATTAAATCAATTATTCTGTAGAAACTGGGGCACAGCTTTTTATTTACTAAATAAAACTAAGAGGAAATAAATTCCGGAACCGTGACCTGTAAGGTAGAATTTTATTTGAAACCCACAAGGCTTTCTTATGAGGTGATATTCACCCTAAGTATCCTTTCACAATTTGAACAACAAAAATAATGTGATGAATGAGGTATATCAGTTTATTGTAAATAAATGATTTGTCAGCCTATGTAAAGTAATCAAGATCCTCTCTGCCTTCATTGTTAAAATACCTGTTGAGCACCTGCTGGGTCTCAGTATACATAAAAAATAGTAAGAGATGGCTCCTGCCTCGCCAAGACATTGGTCCATTTGGGAAGACAAGATGCAAACACATGCACGCCGAGAAAAAAAAATGGAGACAGTGGGAGTCTCAAACACAGACAGTGGATACTGTAAGCTCACAAAGCAGTGCGCCCCATACAGGACCCAGAAAAGAAAGCCAAGAGGCAGAGCAGAGAAGACCCTCCTCATGGAAGGAACGTGAGGAAAGACTCAGGAAGTGACAGCTGTAATGTGCCTGTAGGGAGGGACTGTGTGCCCTAGGAGTGGCAGATCCCGTAGGCTGGGCAACAGAGGGTCATACGGAGCACAAGTCAGCAGCTTCAGCTTCGGCTTCATCTGGATTTAGAGGGGAGCAAAGAGACTTCTTAAAGCCAAGAAAGAGCCTAGCACACTTGTGCTAAACAATTGTAATTTTCTTTTGCTTCGCAAGGTTGTTGAGTGCAAATATACTTAAGATTTTTGTGAAAACAGCAGTAAAATGAAAAATCTAGATCTAATAGTAATGTATAGGCAAGCTTGAAGACTACAGCCAGGAAGATCTTTGCAGAAGTTATTAACGTAAAGCACCTTAGCCCAGATGGAGGTCGTTTGCACAAGTTGGAAAAGGGTACATTTGAGAAGCATTTGAAAAGATGAATCTGGGCATCTGAAATGAATAGACACAGCTCAGATGAAGACATAAAAACAGCAAGTAAATACATGAAAAAGTGTTCAGCCTCACTGGCCACTCAAGAAATGCACATGAAAACACTGAGATTCCATCTCGTGCCAGAAACAATGACTACCATCAAGAAGCCAACCAAAAACAAATGTTGGCGAGGCAGTAGGGGAAAAAGAACCCTGCTCCACTATTGGTGGGAGTGTACATTGTACAGACACTGCAGAAATCAGGAGATTCCTCAAAAAACTGAAACTAGAAATTTCACTTGACCAGCTATTCCCCTGCTAGGTACCTTCCCAAAAGAGTGAAAGACATACAACAGTGATATATGCACACCCATAGTTATAGCAGCACAATTTATTGTAGCTAAGTCCTATGAACAGTCCATATGCCATCAATAAATGGATGGATAAAAAAGAAAGTGTGGTGTTTATACAATGAAGTATAATCTGCCATGAAGAAGGGTAAACTTGAGACACTTGTAGGTAAATGGATGAATCTTGAGACCATAATTTTAAGAGAGGCAAATCACATACCCAAGTTTATAGCATTGTTTCTCTCATGTGAGAAACCAAAAGGGAAAATAAAGAGCAATCAATATTGGGAAGTAGGAGGACTTGTCCAAATGGGAAGTAGAATGAGGAAGGGGAAAAGAGGGAAAGGGGACTTTTAAAAAAGAACGAAGGGAAAATGGAAACTAAACTTTTGTATATGGGGAGAGGAAGGAGTGTTGAAAAGAGGGGAGGTGAATGAGAAAAAAAGTAAAATATGTACAAATTCCTATGATGAATATGATCATTATGTACGGCAAATGTACTAATAAAGATATTTTTAAAAGAATCCACATAGACAAAACAAAACAAAATGAATCAACAGAATATCATGTGTAGGGGCTGGGGGTTTAGCTCAGTGGTTCTGCCACCTGCTTTGCAAGTGCAAGGTCCTGAGTTCGATTCCCAGTACCAAAAGAAAAAAAAAAGTCATGAGTAGGATCTGTGGACTGGGAGATGAGAGGCATTTCCACACATGACTACATTTCCATGTGAAGATAGTCACCCAGCTTCATCTAATAATGAGTATCAGACCGAACCTTCCAGCTAAGACAATGAAAGAACGGGCAAAATATGCGAAGAGCTCCATACAAGGTCACCAGAATGAGAAGGTCCTCCAGACTTTAGACTCAAGTCCACAAAAGACATTGGTCCCTCGGAAGAACGACTGGAATTGGGCCCTGCCAGCGGCCCCGCTCTCTGTCGTGAGAGAATGTCCAGCCTGTGGCAGGGGAGGAAACCCCAGAGGAGACTGCATGCTCCCTAGTCAAGACGTCAGAACTCAGGGACCAGGGAGGCTAAGACAGAGTCTGCAGGGCAGAGCCCTGGAGGGGAGGGCACGCAGGGTGAGCACACGAGTGTGCAAACTATCCAGGCCAGGGGAGGAACCATCTGGTGGCATGAGAGGAAGCGATCCCTGAGCCTTGTGCAAGAGCAGTGCCTGCTTCCCCAGCCATCCAGAAAACTGCACAGCCATGGGATCAGTCAATGAGAAGAGAACCACAAAGAGCCTGCCCTGATGGTCCTGGACTTCAAACTGCTTAACAAAGCAGGATCCCGAAGCATAAATGTTTCTAGGTAACTGAATAACCCAAAACAACAACAACAACAAAAATTGGAGTTTTCTTTCTTTGTTTTCATCTTTCTTATTATTTTTAAAATATTTTGTATTTGTTCTTTTGATACCCTTGTTCATTCTATTAATTTATTTTTACTCCTTAACAGAGTTCTTTATTTTGTTTCTCTCTTCTTTCCCATCTTCCATTGCTTAACTTTTCAAATATTTCTTTCACTCTCCCATTCCCCACCCCATCTATCTTTACTAGTATAATCATTAAGTTTTATTAATCTTTGTATAGCTAACTCTATGTTATTACTGTTGAATTACTTTTTATTGTTAGTGGAGGCACAGTGGTACGTCTGTTCACAAATGTTCGCAAACCAAACTGTTTGCAAACAGAATAATTTTTTTTGCCTTTGTTTGCAAACTCTGCATCAGGTGAAAAAAAGGAGCAAAGCCATCTTTCCCACACAAACACAAACATAGCTGTCTTTTCCAAAATTGTAGAAAAAACTAAGTTCATGAGCCAAGGTACCACTGTATACTTGTCACAATTAGGAGATACTTCCATAGTTCAATATTTGGTCTTAATGTTTATACTATAATTGTACATCTCTTTTCTGTGGTTAAGAGTGATACATTATTTGTTCTTATGGGATGTAAATATACAGTTTGCCTTTGATGCAATTATTGTTGCTGAGTTATTTGCCATTGCCAGTGTGGCAACTATTAATAGGTCCTCTCTATCTGTCAATATCCAGATTGCCTTTGTATCATTAACAATACTCAGTTCATTCCCAGAGATCAGGGTGCTGGGCTGATTACACTGCATCCTCTACTCCTAAAGATGGGGCAGAGGCAAAGACCTATAGTTAGCCATGCCTGGAGTGCATCACTGAAAAACAGACAATAACTAAAGAGATTTGCCATTTGAGTAACAAGTCTCCACTGTAAGCACCCACAAATTTCAGCACAAAACAAAGCAAATAATAGAAACATGAGAAGGTAACAAGATGACTCCAAAACCCCCAGCCAGTTAAAGCTGAAGCATAGGACATCAAGGAGGAGGAAATCAAAAGCCACAGAGTGAAGTTATTCAAAAGGATAACCAATTTTTTTAAAAAATCAAGAATGCTCTGGGTGAACTCAAAAAAGATAAAACTGAACAGATACTGAACTTAATAAAAATGTTTAGTGAGTATACAGAAGGCACTAATAAAAAGCTAGATGAACTAAATAAAATGATACAAAGCCTGAATAACCAGTTTAGCAAAGAATTAGAGCTCATGAAAAGGTAAAAAAAACAAATCCAGGTGATTAAAAATTCTATTGAAAGTACAGGAAGCAAGAGTGACTAATATGAGGACAGAGTGTACATATATCAAAATACTGTGTTGTATACTATAATGTTATAAGTTTTTACTTTTCATTTAAAAATCAAAGCAAAAACGAAATCACACAAGAAAAAAATACCCCAAAGAAAGGGGAAAAAAGGCAGAAAAAGAAAAGGAACACAAGAACAGATGAGAAAATAGAAAATAAGGAGTTTTAAACCCAAGTATATCAAAATTGCATTACATGTTAATAGACTAAAAGCCCCAAAGGAAAGCCTGCAACTGTCAGATTAGATTTTTAAAAAATAAGATCCAACGATAAGCTGCCTACAAGAAACCCATCATTAATAGAAAGACACACGTGCAAAGTAAAAGGATCAAAGAACAGTGAGTTGCCTGATCTGGAGGCAAAATAATGTTTGCTTTAAGCTTAAAACCCTGAAGACAGAGGATCAAGACCATCGGCTGTCCTCTCACCACTGCTTGTGCAACTGGCTTGCTGGGACAGGGCTAGGATGAGAAATTGGAAACTACACAGAAGACTGGGAGCTGGGTTAGAGGTTGCATCTCAAGGCAGTTTGGATGTTCAAAGAGGTGATGGCAGTAGCTTCACAACATGATGAGTA